GTCCCTTTTGACGCACACTAATAATAATAATTATTTATTTATACCCCGCCCATCTGGCTGGGTTTCCCCAGCCACGCTCCCTTCCCAATGTTTCCAGCAACAGTTTTCAGAAGCATTACTGTTCCAACACACACACACAGCCACAAACCACCCATTAGGCTGCAGCGGTTCTTAATAAGTTGCTTGAGAGAAACCAGTCCTTGGAACGAATCCTGCTCAGAAGCCCATTAGCACATTAATTATAAGAGCCCAAATGGGATGCTGGTTATTATATCAAAGGAACAAGCCTGTAGCCCAGTCCAAGGAGTGATTGCTAATTGGAAGAACAAGCAAGAAACAAGTCCAGTCTTACCCTCAAGCAAGGAAAATCATAATTGGAATGTCCTATTTCTCTCTCTCTCTCTCCATGATTCATAGCCTATCTGTCCCACTAGGACCCAGGCAGGTAAAAGCTTTCATAACACCGTTCTGGTGAACATGTTGTAAACAAGAGCTGATGTAGCACAGCTGTGAAGAGCAGGAACTGGGCTCAGCCTTCCCCAACTCAGTGCCCTCCAGATGTTTCAAGCTGCTGCTGCAGCCACTATGACCAGGATTTTTTTTGGGGGGGGGGGGAGTCATGCTCCACAACAGGTTTCCACCCTGGCCACCCCAGTTCTCCTCAACTGCTTGTTTACAAAGCTATTGTACCACCAACCTTACTGTATGCTTGCGAAACATGGACCACTTATAAATCCCATCTCCAACTCCTCAAAAGATTCCATCAATGGTGTCTCCAAAAAAATGTACACATCACTTGGGAAAACAGGCAAACTAATGCCAGTGTACTGGAAGAAGCAAAGATCAACAGTGTTGAAGCAACAATTCTTCAACATCAACTCCATTGGACTGGTCATGTTGTGCGGATGCCTGATGATCGTCTTCCAAAGCAACTAGGTAAAGGTAAAGGTACCCCTGCCCGTACGGGCCAGTCTTGACAGACTCTAGGGTTGTGCGCCCATCTCACTCAAGAGGCCGGGGGCCAGCGCTGTCCGGAGACACTTCCGGGTCACGTGGCCAGCGTGACATCGCTGCTCTGGCGAGCCAGAGCCGCACACGGAAACGCTGTTTACCTTCCCGCTAGTAAGCAGTCCCTATTTATCTACTTGCACCCAGAGGTGCTTTCGAACTGCTAGGTTGGCAGGCGCTGGGACCGAGCAACGGGAGCGCACCCCGCCGCGGGGATTCGAACCGCCGACCTTTCGATCGGCAAGCCCTAGGCGCTGAGGCTTTTACCCACAGCGCCACCCGCGTCCCAACTACTCCAAAGCAACTACCCTGTTCCAAACTTTAAAATGGACAGCGTAATGCTGGTGGTCAACAAAAGAGGAACCTGGGAAACACTGTCCTGCGAGCGCTCCAGTTGGAGAACAGCCTTTACCAAAGGTGTCATGGACTTTGAAGACACTCGAACTCAGGACGCAAGGGAGAGACGTGCTAGGAGGAAGGCACGCTTGGCAAATCCACACCGTGATCAACTCCTGCCTGGAAACCTACTGTCCCCACTGTGGAAGGATGTGTGGATCCAGAACGTGTGGAGTCACTTACGGACTCATTTGTCAGGTGTGCGTGCAGGAGCCAGGCCCTGTGACCAATAGGACTCTGCAGGACTGGAGCCTTCCTGAATTTGTTCTGAAGAGGCAAGGTGCGGCCCCACAGGTGAGGCCGCTTGGTAACTCACAGCCCCTGGTGACAAGAGCCAGGAAGGGATATAAGGTCAGCATTTCCCTTCGGCTCTTTGCCACAGCAACACGCTTCCTGCGTTTGGCTTCTTGCTTCCTGGTCCTTGAACCTCAGCTTCTTGACTCCTTGCTTCTTGATCCACAGACCCTTGACTTCGTGACTCCTTGCTTCTTGATCCTCAGACCCTTGACTTCGTGACTCCTTGCTTCTGGACCCTTAGACCCTTGGTTTCTTGTCTCCCTGCTCTCTGACCCTCGGACTCTTGGCTTCCTGACTCCTGGCTTCTGGACCAGCGTTCCTGCTCCCACCCCGCCATCTTGCCCCCGGTCCTGATGTCCCCTGCAGGGACTTCGACTGCCCATGAACCGGACCGTGACATCATTGTTAAAACCATGTTTATGGAAGACAATCTTACTCGGCTACAAGTGATCGCCAAAGGAGGAGGAGGAGAAGACGACTCAACTGGGTAGAGAGGAATGGTGGTTCAGTAAAACTAGGAATGCTGTGCATAGTTAAACTATGGAACTCCCTCCCACAAGAATGACCACCAACCTGGATAGCTTTAAAAGTGGGCTGGACAAAATCAGGGAGGACAAAGCTGCCCATGGCTACTAGCCAGGATGGCGATCCTATGCCTCCATGGTTGAAAAGCAAGAGAGTTTCTTTTGTGCTTGGGTTTCCCACAGACATCTAGTTGGCCTCTGTCAGAACAGAGTGCTGGACTAGATGGGCCACTGTTTCTTCTACTTTATTTCCTGTTAAATCCCTTTATCAATATAAGTTTTTATTAAGACCTTTCCTAATATATTACAGTAAAAGAGCAACTAATCTAGACAAAAACATAAAAAGGGGGGATCCTCTTTCGCAGATAAATCTTAACTTTTATTTTATTTATTTCAATATTAATATTACTCTTTTATTTTGACAAAGTAATAAGAATAAATAAGAATAAAAATGTGCACCCACTGTCTGAGACCGTTCCATTGGAACTATGCAAACTCCCAAAATTTCAACACCTCTTGCGATGGTTTGACCCCTTTCCGTTTTAACAGTACAAATTCCACAAACACCCTCCATATCTCCTCAAAATCATTTCTCCTGCATATTCCCTGTCTTACCTTAATGGCACTTGTTGACTTATCATTAATAGCTACCGTATTTTTCTCTCTATAGGACGTAACTTTTCCCCCTCCAAAAATTAAGGGGAAATGTGTGTGCGTCCTATGGAGCGAATGCAGGCTCCTTGGCTTCAGCGATAGCAACGCGAAGCCTCCAAAGCACAGAGGGAGCGCTCCCTCCGTGCTCCGGAGGCTACGCATTACTTTTGCTGAAGCCTGGAGAGCGAGAGGGGTCAGTGCGCACCGACCCCCTCGCTCTCCACGCTTCAGGGATAGCCGCCTGAAGCCTCCGGAGCGCAGCGGGAGTTCCCGCTGCACTCCAGAGGCTTCGGGTTCCTTTTGCTGAAGCCAGGAAAGCAAGACTCTCCTGGCTTCAGCAGAGAGGGAGAGCTGCGCAGCGCCCCTTCAGCCAAGCGGGAGGAGAAATGGAAGGGGCTCCGTTTCTCCTGCCGCTTCGCTGAAGGGGCACTGAGCAGAGAGGGGGAGAATTTTTTTCCCCTTGCTCTCCCCCTCTAAAACAAGGTGCGTCCTATGGTCGGGTGAGTCCTATAGAGCGAAAAATACGGGATATCCCACACCCTCTTGATAAATCTTAACTTGTCCCATGCAGAGGAAGGTGGACCCCACCAGCTCTCACCTTTCTTCTCCCATCCTCCCATCCCAGGAGATCTCTTCTTCCCTGCCTCTCACACAGGGTCCTTCGACAACTATCCATCACTTCTCCACACATTAACCAACAGAGGTGTTTTCCATCAGCCACTCCCTGATCCGTTCGGCTGGAGGCACCAGGGTCTGACTATGTGCACCTTCTGTGTGCAAAATGTAAGCCCTACTGTCCTGTCCTGATCAGGCATTCTTACCTTCCAGAGCCAGCATTCTGAGTGGTCTTTACCTCCAAAGCAAAGCAGAGAGCTTTGAAGCACAGGGGTGTAGTGATCAGGTGGGATTGCTATGAGGAATTATAACAAGTACAGAGTAAGCCATCTGTGTCAGCAATGAAAGCATTGCGTTGACTGGGTTTAAACTATTTTGATATGATTCTTGATCAATCCACACCCCTGCATCCCTGTTCCATTTCTCTCTCTTCACAAGTCACGTACACACTTAGACAGGCAGGCGTCCTGTGTCCTCAAAGACTGGGCAGTTTCGTCAATGTGGCTTTTCTGATTGTTAATCTTAGGATATTGATCTTAGGGCCAGGAAACAGGTTTCACATTAAGGTGATAATGGTCACTGTCCTCCTGGCCATCCTTCTTATCATGTGTATTGATTGTTTATGACCTCCGGGGTTGCTGAATACACTCCTTTGTAGTTTCATTCATTTACTCCAGAGTATGTATGCCTAACTAGTGTTTATAGTTTAACTTTCTCCCCACGTGGGTTTGTAGAAACGCTCAGAAGAAATCTGATTGGTTCTTACAAACACTCTGTAAAAAGTTCTTTTGTGAATAAAAGACCTGGGCCGAGGGGTAGAGAGGGACAGGCACAGAGAGACAATTATACACACCCTTCCCAGAGTCTTGCTGGTTCAAGCCTCTGTGTGTATTCTTATTAATCAGAGTTCAATCCTTCCTTTACTTTGGGAACGCCTCACAGGGGCTCTGAGATGCTCCTCTCGCGAGATCTCACGGGGGCTGTCCGAGCTCCTGTGAGATCTCGCGAGAGCATCCCAGTGCCCCCGCACTGAGCGGGACTTGCGCAGTAAGCAAGGAGGAGAGTTCAAAAGCTCGCTCCACACCGGGAAAACTCAGCGCAAAAAGAGCATTTAATTTAATCTGGACAATTTCAACTGGGGCAAAGTCAAAACACACAAGTTAACTGAGATTGTACTGGACCTGGGAACACGATAAGCTTCCTTATACCGAAGTCAAACTAGCGGTCCACCAGACTGAGTGTTGTCCACCTAGTGTTTCTCAAACTTAGGTCCCCAGCTGTGCTTGGACTATAATTCCCATCATCCACAGCTAGCAGGGGTCATGGGAGTTGTAGTCCAACCGTAGCTGGGGAACCAAGTTTGCAAAACACTGACTGGCAGTGGCTCTCCAGGCAGGAGGATCTCTCCCAGCCCTACCTGCAGATGCTAACGGGGACTGAACTGGGGACCTTCTGCACGTAGAGCAGGTGATCTGGTGCTGAGATCCAAGGCCTTAACATAGATACCTTCTGATTCCAGCCTATCCAGCTCATAGGTTGCAGCCGTGGTGATCCGGTGCGTGGCTGGGACAGTGGTCCTCTTCGTCAAGGACGCCAAGGTCGGCGGAACTGTCATGGCTTCAGTCGCTCCCAGAATCCCTTCGTCCTGCGTTCTCTGGTCCCCCAGAGTTGCAGGAGAGCTGGCAACAGAAACATCTTCCTCCTCCTCTCCGCTAAGGGCAGTGACGGGCCCTGTGCAAGAGGAAGAGAAAACAGGAGATTGGTACCCACGTGGAGAATGAGTGCAAACCCATGTGCGATCTCATTTTTATTTTTACTTCCTCCGTCTTGTTGTGTTGTTATAGTTTAATCATTGTTCAGCTGCGTCTTTTATTATTTCCTTGCTTACCCCTGCACAAGGGGAACAGGGGGTATAGGGGAATTTGAAATATTATTTATAATATAAAAGCTTTAACATAAAATTTCTAACTGTGTTGTGTTTCTATACAGCAAAGAGAAGTTTAGAGTAATTACGTAGGTATATTTCAATTTAGTTAATTATGTAATAGGTTTATGTTAGAAAAGGAATAAGGATGTTGAATTTGATGTTTGCAATTTTTCCTTTTTCAGTTTTGGAAATAAATAAAAAAAGGATAATGAGCGCAAACTAGCCCAAGAGCATCACAAGCAACATCCAGCAGAGGCTATGTTGTCTATTAATATCCTTCCTAACTTGCGTTGGCAAGTTTCTTTATGTAGCAGAGTTTACATTCCCCTTCCATACATGCACAGCAGATAGCTGGTTGCAGGCTTGTGTGAGCCTCTCGCTATTATACAATTCAGTATTGAATTGTATGTTCCCGGTAAGTTCCCTTTTTGTTGTTGATTAGTCGTTTAGTCATGTCCGACTCTTCGTGACCCCTGGACCAGAGCACGCCAGGCACCTCTGTCCTCCACTACTTCCCGCAGTTTGGTCAAACTCATGCTGGTAACCTCGAAAACACTATCCAACCATCTCGTCCTCTGTCGCCCCCTTCTCCTTGTGCCCTCCATCTTTCCCAGCATCAGTGTCTTCTCCAGGGAGTCTTCTCTTCTCATGAGGTGGCCAAAGTACTGGAGCCTCAGCTTCACGATCTGTCCTTCCAGTGAGCACTCAGGGCTGATTTCCTTAAGAATGGATGTGTTTGATCTTCTTGCAGTCCATGGGACTCTCAAGAGTCTTCTCCAGCACCATAATTCAAAAGCATCAATTCTTCGGCGATCAGCCTTCTTTATGGTCCAGCTCTCACTTCCATACATCACTACTGGGAAAACCATGGCTTTAACTATACGCCCACCTCTAGTCACATGCAAAGGAAGGATGCTCCAGCCAGGAGAAAACAGGAAGTTTTCGACTGGCTGGACCAAACATTACCCGGCATGTCTTCTCAAGCATTACAAGGAATGTTATATTTGACTGCTCTCAGGGGATTACATCGCACAGATGCTATTAACTAAGGCAACTTTATGCCATACTAGAGTTTAGGAACAAAGTATTCTCCCAAAGGATTTGTCATCATTATGAGTCAGTCGTCCTGGTTCAGGGCTGAGCTGTCCTGCCTAGTCTGGCATTCTCTTCTGAGGAGCAGCCAGACAGATTATTTGTTTGCGGCATTTATCTTCTTTTAATTTCCTTTAGTGATTTGAGTGGTGCTTTTTTCAGGGGAGGGGGGGATAAAGAATGAGCTGCCGGCATGCGTATCTTGATAAAAGTGCTGTGGCTGCCATCCCAAAATGGCTGGAACAGGGAGCAAAAAAATTTGGGACCAGTGAGTCGCCAAAAATAAAGGCATAAACATATACCGTATTTTTTTGCTCTATAAGACACACTTTCCCCCTCCTAAAAAGTAAGGGGAAATGTGTGTGCGTCTTATGGAGCGAATGCAGGCGGGAGGCTCTGCTCAGCACTCCCTTTAAAGAGCCGCGTGGTGTGTGTGTGCGGCTCTTGGGGGCTTTTCCAGCATGAGTCTGACCAAACTGTGGGAGGCAGTGGAAGAAGAAGAGTTTGGACTTGATATCCCGCCTTTCACTCCCCTTCAGGAGTCTCAAAGCGGCTAACATTCTCCTTTCCCTTCCTCCCCCACAACAAACACTCTGTGAAGTGAGTGGGGCTGGGAGACTTCAAAGAAGTGTGACTGGCCCAAGGTCACCTAGCAGCTGCATGTGGAGGAGCGGAGACGCGAACCCGGTTCCCCAGATTACGAGTCTATCGCTCTTAACCACTACGCCACACTGGCTCTCTCAGTGGAAGACAGGAGTGCCTGGCATGCTCTGGTCCAGGGCGTCACGAAGAGTCGGACACAACTAAACAACAACAACAACAACATGCTTATTGCATTTATAAATTTTAAATTCATTGTTGTACATTGTTTTAACTGTTTGTTCTCTTTCTGGGATTGTACCCCCAAGTGTGTTTTATAAGCTGGTCTCTGACCGTAATAAATTTGTTCAGTTTCTGTTAATTGGTTCTCGTGGGAAACTTGCAGATTCTGGCTTCGCACAATTAACTCAAGGCAGTGTCAATTTACTCTTGGCAGAAAGCCCAGGTCTGCTTGACCTAGAAACTACTTACTCTGATTGGTTAACGACCAGCACTCAACTCTGTTATCTAGGAATGCTAGCACAGTTTGGTGTTGAGGTGTGTTAGGAGTAGAAGTGCTGTGTATGGTTTTGAGAGAGAGAAAGAGAGGATTTATTTTGCTTTTATTTGTATGCAGAAACTCTGCTGGTTTTATTTTTTTCCTTTTTTTAAATAAATCCTGTAAATAGTTATTCTGAGTCTAGCTGACTAGTCATTATCGCCGCAACTAGCTTCTTCGCTGTGCAGGAAAACTCTGCTACGTTTGGGCTAAAGCCAATAGGGCTATGCCTGACACTTCAAAGTTCCATGAAAATTATCTATCTATCTCTCTAAGAAATTTCTAACAGTATGAGCTGTTCGACAGGGGAACGGTCTCCCTCAGGAGAAGGTGGAATCTCCTTCCTTGAAGGTTTTGAAGCAGAGGTTGGGTGTCCACCTGCCATGGATGATCTAGTTGAGATTCCTGCATTGCAGGGAGTTGGACAAGATGGCACTCGGGATCCCTTCCAACTCTATCATTCTATGCTTCTATGACAGCCATCCCCAGATGTTTTGGGACTACAGCTCCCATCATCCCTAGCTAACAGGACCAGTGGTCAGGGATGATGGGAATTGTAGTCCCAAAACATCTGGAGGGCTGAGTTTGGGGATGCCTGTTCTATGACAAGCAAAAAGATAAGATGCTGATAGGCTGGGACACAGTTTTTAAAACACACCAGATCTGCTTTTATATGCAGGAAACACAATGTTTAACTGCCAAAAGAACATGGAATGAGCCACAAAGTTTACCTCTAAAGTGGGGTCAAAGCACCAGGAATCACACGCTCCAGCTATGAGTCCTGGTAGAGGCTATTACCCAGCTCCCTGTGGGGATTTTCACTTGTAAACACTGTGTGTGTGTGTGTGTGCGCGCGCGCGCGTTGTTGTTGTTGTTGTTGTTGTTGTTGTTGTTGTTTTGTTGTTTAGTCGTGTCCGACTCTTCGTGACCCCCTGGACCAGAGCACACCAGGCACTCCTGTCTTCCACTGCCTCCCACAGTTTGGTCAAACTCATGCTGGTAGCTTCGAGAACATTGTCCCACCATCTCGTCCTCTGTCGTCCCCTTCTCCTTGTGCCCTCCCATATTTCCCAACATCAGGGTCTGTGTGTGTAAATGCCTTCAAATGAATACTGTATAATAGCTTAAAGGTCCCGGGCCCTAAGGAAGTCAGACTATCCTCTACCAGGGCCAGGGCCTTTTCAGTGATGGCTCCGACCTGGTGGAACGCTCTGTCCCACAAGACTAGGGCCCTGCAGGACTTGATCTCCTCCCGCAGGGCCTGTAAGACAGAGCTATTCCGCCTGGCCTTCAATTTGAATTAGCCTGATCCTCTAGTCCCTTTTCCCCTTCCTCTTCTATGAAGAAACCCTTTCTGGGACCCCACATTTAAATTCTTCCCTGGCCCTTGCTGGCCCTAGTAGGACCAACTTGGCCCTGGCGATCATTTGATGTCTACTGATTGAGTCCCCTCCCCCCAAAATGACCCCTGAATTTTTGAATTTTATTGCTATCGATGCTGCATTTTATGTTGTACTTTATGCTGTTTTATGATTTTTTTAAGGTCTCATTTTAATCCATGTTTTATATTTGCTGTTAGCCGCCTAGAACCCTGTTTTTAAACGGGGATGGGCGGGGTATAAATAAAATTTTATTATTATTATTATTATTATTATTATTCAAAGTCTTCTCTGTGGTGATCCCAAGGAGCTGGTCTGAGCCACACCAAGGGCCCATCGCTAACAGATTACCGTCAGAGTCCCCACGCAATTAGTTTGCTTCCAGCAAGCTTAATTATAAATGCATCCCTATTAAATATTTTAGCAGCGCGGTAAGAAAGATGCTCCCCTTGGTTTTTTAATTTTCCCTCTCCAAAGTGTTTTCGTAAAAAGATTTAGAACCTAAAGGAAAGTTAAGAAATTTTATTTTAATTGGAATACTGTTTTTTTTAAAAAAAATGATACCAGAAAACTGCTACATTTAAATTACAAGGAAATTCAGGTGGGAGGGCTCAGAGAAAGCCCAAAATATGTTTATGGGGTTAGAAATCTAAATAATAATTAATTTGTGTTGTTTAGGTGATTAGGTTGTTTAGGTATTTAGGTACCTTGTTTTTTGTTTATCTTGTCTTTTTTCTTTTGTTTTTTCTCTGTTTTTCTTTTGTTGTGATATGTCTTGTATCTTTAAGAAACTTAATAAAAATTATTTTTAAAACACACACAAAGTGTTCCGTTTTTGTGCACCGCGAGGCAAAGCAAACCGAACCTCCGGGGAAGGCGCTGGGCCATAGCTGTCAAGTGTCCCTTATTTGAAGGGACAGTCCCTTATTCCAGCGCCATGTCCCACTGCTGTCCCTTATTGATGGATGTCCCTTAAATGATGTCCCTTAAATTTCAAAGGAAGCAGCTCCTCTCCCTCCCTCCCTGCCGGCCAGGGAGGAGGGAGGCTCCAACTGTGTTGCTTGGCTGTGTTGCTCACCCAATAAGAAGTCTAAGAACGACTGGGGGGTGGAGCTTGCATGCCTTGTGTGTGGCTAGTTAATGCAAGCTGAGGAGGTTTTTGAATGCTGGACGCCATTTTGTTGCACGTGCTGCTGCAAACTTTGCAGTGCAAAGCCAGGCCAGGGAGCCATCTTAAGTTGAGGCTGCATAGGCCTTGTGGTGCATGTGATTCAGATTCTATTCAGTTGAACCTCTGGTTACAAAGTTGGTTGGACAGTGTTCTCGAAGCTACCAGCATGAGTTTGACCAGACTGCAGGAGGACAGGAAGACTGGAGTGCCTGGAACAGGTGAGGCTGCAGGTCCCTTATTTTGGCTGCTGGTCCCTTATTTTCAAGGCTGCCGGTCCCTTATTTTCAAATCTGTAAGTTGACAGCTATGCGCTGGGCTGAAATACGAGCTCAGATCTCAGTTGGATCCTCTGCCTTTATAGCTTGGAACATGCAAATGGAAGCAGGAGCTGAGAATAGGACTACATCCTATATCAGTGGTGCAGAAACTCTGGCCCTTGGGCCTAATCCGATGCACCAGACACCCTATTTGGCCCTCTGCATGACAGTGGGTGGCGCTGTGGGTTAAACCACAGAGCCTAGGACTTGCCGATCAGAAGGTCGGCGGTTCGAATCCCCACGACAGGGTGAGCTCCCGTTGCTCAGTCCCTGCTCCTGCCAACCTAGCAGTTTGAAAGCACGTCAAAGTGCAAGTAGATAATTAGGTACCGCTCCGGTGGGAAGGTAAACGGTGTTTCCATGTGCTGCTCTGGTTCGCCAGAAGTGGCTTAGTCATGCTGGCCACATGACCCGGAAGCTGTACGCTGGCTCCTGGACCAATAAAGCGAGATGAGCGCCGCAACCCCAGAGTCGGCCACGAGTGGACCTAAAGGTCAGGGGTCCCTTCACCTTTACTTATGACATCCTGTATGATGTCAGGTGTGCAGGGCAGTTCCTGCAGAGGCCAGAACTTCTGCCGGCGCATAAAATCAGCTGACAGTTGGCGGTTGCAACGGGCTATCACTTTGCCCGCACCACTGGATCTCAAACTGCGCAGGGAAAGGGAAACGGTTCACTAAGATTGAATGTTTAATTATTAAGATACAAAATTACAATCTCAATAATAAAGTTACAAAATGATAACAAGGAAGTCACAGGTGGAGGGAAGACACAGGGCAAGAAATAAGAAATGGATAAATGTTGGTACATAAAGAAATGTGAAAATGTGAATTTACGAATTCACCTCTACCTCTCTTTCAAATCGGAACCAGTGAAGGTCCTGTGTGAGTGTCTGGAGGCGGTTGGAGGATGGATGGCGGCTAACAGATTGAGGCTGAATCCTGACAAGACAGAAGTACTGTTTTTGGGGGGTAGGAGGCAGGCGAGTGTGGAGGACTCCCTGGTCCTGAATGGGACAACTGTGCCCCTGAAGGACCAGGTGCGCAGCCTCAGAGTCATTTTGGAATCACAGCTGTCCATGGAGGCACAGGTCAATTCTGTTTATCAGCTCCATCTGGTACACAGGCTGAGACCCTTCCTGCCCGCAGACTGCCTTGCCAGAGTGGTGCATGCTCTGGTTATCTCCCGCTTGGACTACTGCAATGCGCTCTACTTGGGGCTACCTTTGAAGGTGATCCGGAAACTACAACTAATCCAGAATGTGGCAGCGAGAGTGGTGACTGGGAGCGGCCGCCGAGACTGTATAACACCGGTCTTGAAAGACCTACACTGGCTCCTAGTACGTTTCCGAGCACAATTCAAAGTGTTGGTGCTGACCTTTAAAGCCCTAAACGGCCTCGGTCCAGTATACCTGAAGGAGTGTCTCTACCTCCATCGTTCTACCCGGACACTGAGGTCCAGCGCCAAGTTGCAAGGAACCAGGCAGAGGGCCTTCTCGGTAGTGGCGCCCGCCCTGTGGAACACCCTCCCACCAGATGTCAAAGAGAAAAATAACTACCAAACTTTTAGAAGACATCTGAAGGCAGCCCTGTTTAGAGAAGCTTTTAATGTTTAATAGGTTATTGTATTTTAGTGTTTTGTTGGAAGCCGCCCAGAGTGGCTGGGGGGACCCAGCCAGATGGGCGGGGAATAAATAATAAATTAGTAGTAATAGTAGTAGTATTACGAATACAATGTATGTGTATCAATATGTAAAGATTTCATATATGTATCACAACATTAATAATAAATAAATTAAGTGCAAAAAAAAAAAGGAAAACGGTTCACATGACATCGTTGGGATGCTAAGATGATTGGCAGCTGCGTGACCCGGTGCACCTGTCAAGGGTAGCGCACGAGGGGCACAGAATACAAGGATCTGGCTCACAGTTATCAGCAGGTGGCAGGGACCTCTAGACTTGCAGAAGTACCACAAAATCTTTAGGAGAAACACCCTAAAAGAGTGAGGGGAGGAACCCCCTCAAAACAGCCCGACAAGAACTGAGCATGCTCAGTGGGGTGGAATATGGATTATTGGCAGAGGTAGGAAACAACCTCTTGCGCAGGATCATAGAGTTGGAAGGGACCCCAAGAGTCATCTAGTCCAACCCCATGCGATGCAGGAATCTCAACTAGAGCATCATGGCAGGTGACCTCCCAAAGGAGTCTGTTCCACTGTCGAAAAACTCTTTTGAGTTTACTCTTTAATGAGTAAACAAACCCCTGTGTTGCAAAATATGAGTCCGCAATATCAAAAGTAACACAATGGCCAGAAACAATTACAATGTGACAAACTTTATGGAATAATTCAAAACATCAAAACTTCAAACCACCTCTTTCTGTGTGTAAGATGTTTATGGGGTGGTCTTGAGCTCCAGGGCAAGGAATTTAAAATGTCTATATAAGGGCGGTCACACCTTGGTTCTGGGTCCTCCTCCTTTCCTGCGTGTGAGAGGGGAGCACCCTGTTGCAACAGTTTAATAAAGATCAGGCTTACTAGCTGCTTTCCTTCTCAAAATTCTCTGGTTGGCCTCTGTTATTTTCTCCTACTGATAGAGAACCTACATAAGGACTCTAGATGGGCTCTTAGATACCCCATAAAGGAAAGCAAACAGTATTTTTCTTATAACACAAGCTGTGGGCTGGACCATGTATCAAGAAGTGTTTTTTAAAAAAATGTTTGCTGGTTTATCATGTTTTTGCCTGTACTGGAAGCTGCCCAGAGTGGCTGGGGCAACCCAGCCAGATGGGTGGGGTATAAATAATAAAAGTAATACAGTGGTACCTCGGGTTAATTCGTTCCAGAGGTCCGTACTTAACCTGAAACTGTTCTTAACCTGAAGCACCACTTTAGCTAATGGGGTCTCCCGCTGCTGGAGCACAATTTCTGTTCTCATCCTGAAGCAAAGTTCTGAACCCGAGGTACTATTTCTGGGTTAGCGGAGTCTGTAACCTGAAGCATATGTAACCTGAGGTACCACTGTATTATTATTATGGAGTCACGGCCAAGAAGAAAGAAAGAAGAGCCTACCAACCTTTTGCATCCGGTGTTTTAAGTACAGGCAAACCGGTGGCAAGGGGGGAAGCAGCAGACACAGAGTCTTCTGGCAGCTGGGAGATTCTGAAAACTGTTGGTGTTTCTCCCTCCATCCCCCTCTCTGGCCCTGCGGCTTCCTGGGTGCTAAAGTCGCCTTGTGTCGCAGCTGGAAGAAGCACGGCACCCGCCTCGTGGGAGGATGTTGCTGCCCCAGGGGTAACGCCTGGTGGGTGTGGGGTGGGAAACACAGAAGAAGATAAAATATCTGTTACTGGACCGACCCATTTAAGGAAAGCCGAATGCAAGAGAGCACCCTTATTTATTTATTTATCTATTCATTCATTCATTTATTTATTCATGCATTCATTTATTATTCTTTTTAAAATGTATTTGGAGGAAACTGATTTCCTAGGTTCATTCCAGACAGGGTTTAGGCCGGTTTTGGCACAGAAACTGTATGATGTGTCCCTGTTAATTCTCCTCAACCTCTCAGCGGCTTTCAATACCATCGAATCCTTCTGGAGCGGCCGTCCGAACTGGGGGTGGGTGGCACCATTTTGCAGTAGTTCCAGTCCTACTTGGATAGACATTTCCGGAAGGTAATACTTGGGGCGCAACTACTCTATTCCGAACTTAAAAATGGAAAGCGTAGCGCCAGTGGTCAACAAAAGAGGCTTAAACAGAGCCAGTGTGGTGTAGTGGTTAAGAGCGGTGAACTCGTAATCTGGTGAACCGGGTTCGCTTCCCCGCTCCTCCACATGCAGCTGCTGGGTGACCTTGGGCTAGTCACACTTCTTTGAAGTCTCTCAGCCCCACTCACCTCACAGAGTGTTTGTTGTGGGGGAGGAAGGGAAAGGAGAATGTTAGCCGCTTTGAGACTCCTTCGAGTAGTGATAAAGCAGGATATCAAATCCAAACTCTTCTTCTTCTCTCAAGGCAAATCTTCAAAAATGTAGTATAAACACTGACAACTGGGAAACACTGTCCTGCGAGCGCTCCAGTTGGAGAACAGCCTTTACCAAAGGTGTCATGGGTTTTGAAGACACTCGAACTCAGGACGCAAGGAAGAATCGTGCTAAGACGAAGGCACGCTTGGCAAATCCACACTGTGATCAACTCCCACCAGAAACCAATGTCCCCACTGTGGAAGGACATGTGGATCCAGAACTGGCCTCCACAGTCACTTACGGACTCACTGCTAAAACTGTGTTTATGGAAGACAATCTTACTCGGCTACAAGTGATTGCCAAGGAAGCAGCAGCTTGTGGAGTGCTCTTCAGCCGCATAGAGCCTTCAATGTGGGGTTCTTCCGGGTTCAATTTTATCCCCTATGCATATTGTACAGGAGACAACATGTGCAAGAAGTTGGCAGGAATTTCCCCCTTTTTTCTTCTTGCAGCAAGCGTTTGCTGACCTAGTCCTCCCACCACAGAAAGCCATTCATTGCAGGAGCTGAGCCGGATATGTTCCAATATCCTCACACCCACATGGTCTCCATTGCTCACCCGGCCTCCCCTCCGGAAAGCGAGAGCTAGACAGATGGCAGCGATTGCCATCTCTACAGCTGCGTCAGAGCCTAGCGCGACCAAGGCTCCCCTCCTGCAATGACACTTTCTCTGGTTTTTTCCCCATTTTTCATTTGGGGACATTTCCGTCAAAGCAGCCGGCCGCCGCCAGAACCTGGGCCTGCCCAAACTAGCTCACTGCAGTGGCAAAGGAACAGCCAAAAAACACTGGATCGAGGCTGCAGAAGTTCTGTGCTGCCTGCAGGAAAAATTCCACAGCGGCAGCAGTTGCTCCAGAATGCAGAGCCTGAAGGTCAAAAAAATCTCCTCCTCCTGCTGCTGCCAGACCAGCATCTGATTGTGGCAGCCGGCTAAAAGTGCAAACTTGCCAGAATTTTGAAAGCTCCCCTGCCTCTTCTTTGGGAATCAGGGGGATGAAACTTTAGGGGAAGCAAAATATATGCCCTGGCAATCCTATTTACCAGTCTCTGTTTCCTGCAAGGGCATCAGGAATCCTGGGAGCTGTAGAATGCAAACCTAACACCGCTTATCCTTTGTTGTTTAGTCGTTTAGTCGTGTCCGACTCTTCGTGACCCCCTGGACCAGAGCACGCCAGGCACTCCTGTCTTGCACTGCCTCCTGCAGTTGCGTCAAACTCATGCTGGTAGCTTTGAGAACACTGTCCAACCATCTCGTCCTCTGTCGCCCCTTCTCCTTGTGCCCTCAATCTTCCCAACATCAGGGTCTTTTCCAGGGAGTCTTCTCTTCTCATGAGGTGGCCAAAGTCTTGGAGCCTCAGCTTCAGGATCTGTCCTTCCAGTGAGCACTCAGGGCTGATTTCCTTAAGAATGGAGAGGTTGGATCTTCTTGCAGTCCATGGGACTCTCCAGAGTCTCCTCCAGCACCATAATTCAAAAGCATCAATTCTTCGGTGATCATCCTTCTTTATGGTCCAGCTCTCACTTCCATACGTCACTACTGGGAAAACCATAGCTTTAACTATACGGACCTTTGTTGGCAAGGTGATGTCTCTGCTTTTTAAGATGCTGTCTAGGCTTGTCATTGCTTTTCTCCCAAGAAGCAGGCGTCTTTTAATTTCGTGGCTGCTGTCACCATCTGCAGTGACCATGGGGCCCAAGAAAGTAAAATCTCTCACTGCCTCCATTTCTTCCCCTTCTATTTGCCAGGAGGTGATGGGACCAGTGGCCATGATCTTCGTTTTTTTTGATGTTGAGCTTCAAACATCAAACATCACTTATCCTACTCTCAACAAATTTCAATTCATAAAATTTATATGCCACTTGACTGTAAAAAAATCAAACAAACCCTCAAAGCGGCTTACAAAACAGATAGAGCAATAAAATCAACCAGAATTTTATATTTTTAAAAAACTACAATAGACTAAAAACAGATTAAAACACGTGTAGAAGAAGAAGGAGAAGAGTTTAGATTTGATATCCCGCCTTTCACTCCCCTTAAGGAGTCTCAAAGCGGCTAACATTCTCCTTTCCCTTCCTCCCCCACAACAAACACTCTGTGAGGTGAGTGGGGCTGAGAGACTTCAGAGAAGTGTGACTAGCCCAAGGTCACCCAGCAGCTGCATGTGGAGGAGCGGAGACGCGAACCCGGTTCCCCAGATTACGAGACTATCGCTCTTAACCACTACACCACACTGGCTCTCAGCTTTCGCAAAATCTAGGCAGGCTTCCTAAACAAAAACATTGTTAACAGGCATCGGAAAGGGCACACTGAAGACACCTCCTTGATATCAACAGGCAGGGAGTTCCAAAGTGCAGGTAAAAAAAAAAGGTAAAGGACCCCTGGATGGTTAATTCCAGTCAAAGACGACTATGGGGTTGCAGCGCTCATCTCGCTATTCAAGCCGAGGGAGCCGGCGTTTGTCCGCAGACAGCTTTCCGAGTGGCCAGCAGGACTAAACCACTTCTGGTGCAACAGGACACCGTGACGGAAGCCAGAGTACACGGAAACACCGTTTACCTTCCTGCTGGAGCGGTACCTATTTATCTACTTGCACTGGCGTGCTTTCGAACTGCTAGGTTGGCAGGAGCAGGGACTGAGCAACGGGAGCTCACCCTGTTGCGGGGATTCGAACTGCCGACCTTCTGATCAGCAAGCCGAAGAGGCTCAGTGATTTAGACCACAGTGCCACCCAAGGAGGTGATCTCATTGCCTGATGGCAATGTAGGCCAAGTCCTCTCGCGCCAATGGCTCTTTATTCCAAGCCCTTCTTGAAAAAAGGAACTGCCAAGGAGGAGGAGGAGTGTGGTGTAATGGTTAGAGTGCTAGATGAGGACCTGAAAGGCCAGGGTTCAAATCCTCTTCCCCCCCCCCCTTGGCCATGAAGGTCACTGGGCAACCTCGGGCCAGTAACCGCCGCTCAGCATAACCCATCCCAATGGATTGGCGTGAGGATAAAATGGGGAGGGGGGCAGGATTGTGTATGCCCCGTTGAGCAGCTTGAAGGGAAGGCAGGATAGGGTAAAGGTAAAGATAAAGGGACCCCAGACCATTAGGTCCAGTCGTGGCCGACTCTGGGGTTGCGGCGCTCATCTCGCTTTATTGGCCGAGGGAGCCGGCATACAGTTTCCGGGTCATAGGGACGCATACCAAATAAACTGAAAGCAAAAGGAGGAATTTATTTACCTCTGGAACGGGAAGTGGCAAGGCGGTCTCGATTTTCCACTGCGCTCCCAGAGGGGGCTGCAGCTTTCGCTGACGGGTCAGCAACATGGGCATGATCCAGGCTAGCAGAGGGTGAGGTGGGCTCCCTGCTTTCCGCGGACGCGAGGCCCAACCCGGTCTGAACATTCTCGCTTCCTTTTGCCGTGGCTGCCAATAATCTCGGCGGCAGAGCCTTCTTCACATCGTCTTCCTCTTTCTCTCCCCCCACGGCGGGATAAAGCTCCGCCACGGGTCCCAGAGCACCCACCCGACTGGCGGGCCCGAATTTTGTATCATCCCAGTCGTCGCTTTGCGGTGTGACAGTCGCCATGGCACCAGGAACGCCTTCCAAAAGCTCCCGATCTGTGGAGATCCCCTTTTGCAAACCCGAGGCAGCGTCAGTCGGAGCCAAGACAGGACCCTCTGTGCCGCTCAAAACCGAGGGGTTGTCTCTGTCCGGCCCTTGATCAGAATCAACGTATTGACCCACTGGAGGGGAAGGAGTCACGGAGCGGCCGCTGGCTATCGTTTCGGAAATGGGCACTTCTTCCGTGGCCGGTCGCCATGTGCCGCTTCTGCCTCCTTCCAAGACGCCTGGCGCGAAAACATCCGCCGTTGACCCGAGCCCGTCTCCTGCCCTGCCACCCTCCACCAGCACTCCTGCGGTGGTGCTGAGCCCATCACCCCTGGCGTTCGGGTCTGGAGCTGTCACAACCGGGGCAAGCAGGACTTCGCTTTGCCCGTTGCTTCCCCAGCTCCTTACTGGGCACACTGGGGTCCACCTGCTGCTCGCTGCCACCCACCTCTGGGGTTGAGGCAGTGGCGTCCACATCCAAACCCTGGCGCCCTGAAGGACTTTGGGCATCCAGGCTGGTTGGCAGCGTGGCTTTGATGGTGGTGGCGGTGTTTAACGGCTCCCCGGCCGGCTCGGCTGTGGCGCCTTCGTAGAGGTTTCCGGAAGCCGCACTGCCGGCTGCTTGCGCAGGTGAGCTGAAGGGGCTTTCTGGACCCGGCACGCTCACGTTTCCGGGGTCTTCCGGAAAGGCCTGGTGTAGTTGTCTCGCTGGCCGCCCCTCCGCCTCCCAGAAAGCGAGGCATTGCGGGCTGCAGGAGCTGAGCAGGATGAGGCAGAGGGAGAGGCAGACAGGGAAACCCATCGGATGGGGGCTCATCCCGGCGGAGCGCCGTGCAGGGGAACAGGGGAGAGCAAATGGTGCCGGGGAGCAAGACCTGGAAGCGAGAAGCAAAAGAGAGCTCTCAGTTCAGTTAAGCTCTTAAAATAAAAAATTTAAGGTCTTATACAATAGGTATAATAATAGGTAAAGGTAAAGGGACCCCTGACCATTAGGTCCAGTCGTGACTGACTCTGGGGTTGCGCCGCTCATCTCGCTTTATTGGCCGATGGAGCCGGCGTACAGCTTCCGGGTCATGTGGCCAGCATGACTAAGCCACTTCTGGCAAACCAGAGCAGCACACAGAAACACCGTTTACCTTCCCGCCAGAGCAGTACCTATTTATCTACTTGCACTTTGATGTGCTTTTGAACTGCTAGGTTGGCAGGAGCAGGGACCGAGCAACGGGAGCTCACCCAGTCGCGGGGATTCGAACCACCAACCTTCTGATTGGCAAGACCTAGGCTCTGTGGTTTAACCCACAGCGCCACCCGCGTCCCTATATACATACAATAAATGTTCATAAATGTACCAAGCAAACACGTACATAAATATATAAACCACATGTCTGAAGCAGCACAGGAAAACAGCCCTGAAACCATTTTGACTCCCAAACTGACCACCCCCTCCCAATGCCTTACTTTCTCAAAACAATGTCCAACATCAAAGAAGGTACCCAGCACTATCAATTTACCTCCCGGTTGATTAGGACATTAAAGGCTTTTCTCATGCCATCAAAGAAGGTTACAAGAGATAAGAAGGGAAAGGAACCGAGGCAGGAAGGGCAACCATGTTAGATCACAAGCTCCTCGAAATACCATTTATCTTCCGGATAGATTGCCCACACAGACTCATTGAATCAGAGTTGGAAGGGACCCTGAGGATCTAGTCCAACCCCTTGCAATGCAGGAATATGCAGTTGTCCCATACAGGGATTGAACCTGCAACCTTGGCATGATCAGCACTATGTTCTTAAGTTCTCAGTTTAATTTGAAACCGCCAATTCACAAGTGTAATAAACGAAAAACTGCCCTTATTCCCTTAAGGGGACACAAGAGCCCTTATAGAGTCCTTTTCAGGTTCAGCACCTGCTGAAAACATTTTTGTTTAGGCTGCCTTCCCAGACAAAGAATGCAGCCATGAGTTTTTAATCTGGCTTTTAGCTTCTGGCTTGATTTTAATACAAATAAACAAATGTTTCAGATATTTGTTTTTAAATGCTTTTACTGATATTTTAGAAAAGCAATGACAAACCTAGACAGCATCTTAAAAAGTAGAGACATCACCTTGCCAACAAAGGTCCGTATAGTAAAAGCTATGGTTTTCCCAGTAGTGATGTATGGAAGTGAGAGCTGGACCATCAAGAAGGCTGATCGCCGAAGAATTGATGCCTTTGAATTATGGTGCTGGAGGAGACTCTTGAGAGTCCCATGGACTGCAAGAAGAACAAACCTATCCATTCTGAAGGAAATCAGCCCTGAGTGCTCACTGGAAGGACAGATCCTGAAGCTGAGGGTCCAAGACTTTGGCCACCTCGTGAGAAGAGAAGACTCCCTGGAAAAGACCCTGATGTTGGGAAAGATGGAGGGCACAAGGAGAAGGGGACGACAGAGGACGAGATGGTGGGACAGTGTTCTCGAAGCTACCAGCATGAGTTTGACCAAACTGCGGGAGGCAGTGGAAGACAGGAGTGCCTGGCATGCTCTGGTCCAAAGGGTCACGAAGAGTCAGACACGACTAAATGACTAAACAACAACACTGATATTTTTACTGTTTTCGTATGCCGCTTAGAAATAAAATAAATCCCACTGCTAAGAATATATTGACACACATTTCAGACTCCTGCTTCCATTAACCCCAGTGGCGTAGCGTGGGTTGTCAGCACCCAGGGCAAGGCAAGTAATTTGCGCCCCCTAACCCGTGGATTTGCCCTAATCCCAGATGTTGCGCCCGGTGTGGCCGGCCCCCCCTGCACCCCCCACGCTACGCCACTGATTAACCCTGCTGAGCATGGCCCAATTATTGGGCCTCATTATTTAAGGCCCAATACAGTTCAGATATGCCACCAAAAGGATGCAGATTTGGAAGCTGGGATAAAGGTTTGGCCGCCATTTGTCAGAACTAGGTGCCCATGATGATCGCAGATGCTTGCTCTGCTCATCGCAAACACCTCCATCCCTGAAGTTCAAGGAACATGACAGCCCGTTGGCAGGCTTGATGGAGAGAACTGCAAGCAGCTGGCAGCTGTCATCTCTCAACGCGCCACCCTGTGGTGCCAGGCTCAGTCAGGGACACTGGTAGGTACAGCGATTAAAGCATCCCAACCGTGCTTCGCTACAATACTTCCGCCCTTAATCCAGGGGCAGCTGCTTTGCAAAGGGGTGAGAGGTGGGAGAAATTTAAATGCAAACATACTAAGAAGGTGCGTCTCCTCCATAAAAAGAAAAATAGGAAATCTCCTTGCATGTGGAAAACTAGCACATCAGGGAGAAGGTCAGGCCAAGACACTTCTCCAGGAGAGGCTAGCTTTCTACGTGCGAGGGATTTTTCTACTTCACAAGACACTCAGTTGTGCCCTTAGACGGGCAATTTTGTGGCACATACCTTTTCTGTTTCGTTGAACCTATACTGTGCTGCTTTTGTTGGGAATTGCTTTGTTTTATTTTTTTAATAATCCATCAACTCTTTTATTAGGTTTTCTGTTGTAAACTCGCAACCCTTACTGGTACCTTAAGGCAAATGGCAGGTAAGTAATCTTATAAACAGGCAAGTTAATAATGATAATTTCTCCTGCATATCAGATTTCTACAGACTGAAGAGGACTGTACCATTCTGTTCTGGACTGAACCATACAAACAAGCCCTTTAAGTTACTGGCTGAATGTTTATTATCACTACGTTACGTTACGTTACGTTACGTTACGTTACGTTAAAGGTAAGGTAAGGTAAAGGTACCCCTGCCCGTACGGGCCAGTCTTGACAGACTCTGGGGTTGTGCGCCCATCTCACTCAAGAGGCCGGGGGCCTAGGGCTTGCCGATCAAACCTCAGTGCCTAGGGCTTGCCGATCAAAAGGTCGGCGGTTCAAATCCCCGCGGCGGGGTGCGCTCCCGTCGTTTGGTCCCAGCGCCTGCCAACCTAGCAGTTCGAAAGCACCCCCGGGTGCAAGTAGATAAATAGGGACCGCTTACCAGCGGGAAGGTAAACAGCGTTCCGTGTGCTGCGCTGGCTCGCCAGATGCAGCTTGTGAGATGAGCGCACAACCCTAGAGTCTGGCAAGACTGGCCCGTACGGGCAGGGGTACCTTTACCTTTACCTTTACCTAAAAGCTTGGTAGTTATTTTTCTCTTTGACGTCTGGTGGGAGGGCGTTCCACAGGGCGGGTGCCACTACCGAGAAGGCCCTCTGCCTGGTTCCCTGTAATTTGGCTTCTCGCAGCGAGGGAACCACCAGAAGGCCATCGGAGCTGGACCTCAGTGTCTGGGCAGAACGATGGGAGTGGAGACGCTCCTTCAGGTATACTGGGCAGAGGCCGTTTAGGGCTTTAAAGGTCAACACCAACACTTTGAATTGTGGTCAGAAAAGTACTGGGAGCCAGTGTAGGTCTTTCAAGACTGGTGTTATATGGTCTCGGCGGCTGCTCCCTGTCACCAGTCTAGCTGCCGCATTTTGGATTAGTTGTAGTTTCCGGGTCACCTTCAAAGGTAGCCCCATATAGAGTGCATTGCAGTAGTCCAAGTGAGAGATAACCAGAGCATGCACCACTTTGGCGAGACAGTCTGCGAAGCAGCCTTGGAAAGCTGCCGTTCTGAGCTGATAACAGGAGCTGAATGTGCTTAACCCCTTTCTGGTGAAATAAAAAAATTAAGGTCTTTTTATATATATAATAATTATTCATAAATGTACCAACCAAGCGGATACGTAGATGTGTGGACCACATGTCTGGAGCAGCACAGGAGGACCGCCCTGAAACCATTTTCACTTCCAAACTGACCAAATGTTTTCTCTGCAAGGAGGGAGGAGGTGGGGGAGCCTCCCCATTGTCTTTTTGCTCACAAATCCTGTCTTAAGGCTACAGTGGTGCCTCGCAAGAAATCCGTTCCGCGAGTCTCTTCGTCTTGCGGTTTTTTCGTCTTGCGAAGCACGGCTATTAGCGGCTTAGCGGCTATTAACGGCTTAGCGGCTTTAAGAAAAAGGAAACAAACTCACAAGAACTCGCAAGACGTTTCGTCTTGCGAAGCAAGCCCATAGGGAAATTCGTCTTGTGGAACGACTCAAAAAACGGAAAACCCTTTCGTCTAGCGAGTTTTTCGTCTAGCGAGTTTTTCGTCTTGCGGGGCACCACTGTATGTCTGTGTACGAATAGGGTGAGCCTGTGACCTGGCTCAGGAACTAAGTATTTGTCACTACAAAAGACTGGCCAGGTTCCCCAGGGGATCCAATCAAGTAAGGATTAACAGGTAACCTGCCAGACAGGAGGTAAGCAACGCACTCAGATTTCTGTTATAGACCACCCTTTCTGTGATGCAGGTATGATATGTCTAGGGGGTGGTCTTGGATTCCGGGGCGGGCAATTTAAAATGTCTATATAAGGGTGGACACACCTTGGTTCTGGGTCCTCCTCCTTTCCTGCGTGTGAGGGGAGCACCCTGTTGCAACAGTTAGTAAAGATCAGGCTTACTAGCTGCCTTGCTTCTCAATATTCTCTGGTTGGCCTCTGTTATTTTCTCCGACCGATGGAGAACCTGCAAAGAACTCTATAAGGGCTCTTGTGTCCCCCATAAGGGAATAAGGGCAGATTTACGTTTATTACACTGGTAAGCTATTTTGATACACAAAATCTCCCTCCCCGGGACATATCCACTCCCCCTGCACAATTACAAGTTGAATAAGCAGCTAGAATGTATTCTGGTAATTTAATATTTTGTTGGAAGCTGCCCAGAGTGGCTGAGGAAGCCCAGCCAGATGGGCGGGGTATAAATAAATTATTATTATTATTATTATTATTATTATTATTATTATTATTATTATTAAACCCAGCAGCAGGGAATGATATTGGG